ATACAGTCTTTTAGAATTCTTCTTCACAAAAAATTGCCAACATTTGACGAATAGAGCAAGATGGATTAAATGCGATAACTTTTGAAGCAGCGTGACTTCACTGTTAAAGTGACGTTTTCGTTCCCTATTGACTTGACGTGAGCAACTTGTGTGTTAAGGGCCTGTTTACATGGAGGTGGGGGACCCAAGGTAGGTGAGGTAACCCAGTTAGGTGGGGTAACCCGTTTGTCCATATAATTTCTCATTTTAATTTGATCACGTTTACATGATAGGTGGGGTGACCCGCCGTATTTTACCTCATCTACTTGGGGTGCCCCACCTCCATGTAAACAGGCCCAAAGTCAACTTAAATTTATTAAAATGATGAAAAATCATGATTTCAATAGGCCATTTCCAAGTTCAGAAACTTCTCACTTTTAAAACTAGTGTAACTACAAAACCTTTCTTGTGAAAATGAGTTTTGTCAGGAGCATGCTTTTATTTGCATGAAAATAAACAATATTATTATTCATTCAAAATATATTTCTCCGTTTCTGATTTCTACGGCCTCGGCGGAAGATAAGGTTTAGCAAGGCCTATCCTAGCTTATCCTATACTGCCGCCTGCAACCCAGTTACTACAAAAAAGCGCACTTGAATTGGTGTAAACTGATGGACAAGGAATAGTCGACCTACCAGGGATTGATTTGCTAGAGCAAATATGTTAATCGAACCATTCTTGTAAGAGCTGACAATGGATCCATTTGAACGAGCGGAGATATGCCCTCGGACCACCCCAACCCGCCTCCCCCCTCCTCCGCCTCCAACACACTTGATTCCCTCGGCCACTTACTTGAAAAACTGCTGGGCGGATCCAGGAAAATAAAAAGGTGGCCGGTCAGTTTTCGTGCCAAAAAGTTTTCCTTACATTCACTACATTTTTCACTTGCTGTGAGTACTTAAAAAAATTTCGTCACTTTCATTTTTATTAGATAAATCTCAGTACTCAAGTTATAAGCCCAACGTTAGACATCACTCATAACATCAGGCGTTCAAATAATAAGCCAAGAATTTTAGTGAACTGAACGTCAAACGAAGGTTGGAATAATGTTGTCACATTTCGAAACAATGTTGCAACATACAATTGCGCAGAAGATGAGAGTCGTCCCGAGTAAGATCGCTAATAAGATTTACGCACATGAGCACTTGACCGTCTAACAATCAACTGAGCTCAGCATAAGAAGGAGGTTTATAATCAAAATAGGTATTGGCCCAATTGGCGCCTGTAGATAGACGAGTAAATTTCATATCCGTATCCTTAGCAGTAAATACGGTTTATAATAAACCATCTCTTAACCGAAAAAACAGCTAGGCGTACCGGATGCCAATACCACATATCTAGAAATCATGATCCCTTCTTGCCCTCTAACTGCATGGCAAATTTGCTTTGCAAGGTTCTTCTGTAGGCAGGTCAACGGTTTCTCTGAAGCACTTGTGGATCTGGCAAGCTCTTCAATAGACCTTTTTAGCTTGCATATTTTGTTTTCCCATTACAGACCACGTACCTCAGAGAAAAGAGAACTGTTTCTTTCAACTGTCGTCTTATTCACGTGCATTCACGTGCAAATGTATGCATAATAAATGAAAAGACAAAACGCAAATTCCCTGGACAGCATCACGTGGTCTGAATTGGGAAAACAAAACATACAAGCCATAATACCGTGAAAAGTTACGCACACGCGCGAGTGGTACGCGAGAGAAAGAACTGTTTTAAAGAGCCCCCCGCGGCTTTGCCGCTCTCTCACCCAAATGGAGAGCTTGCTCGCAAGCTACTGCGGGACTAGGGGAGGGGCCTGAGGAATTAGCCCGCAGGGCCGCAAAAATATTATTTTCGAGCTCAAGCGCCCCTTTTATGTCAGGGTCTCACTCTGGACTTGCGGCCCCCCCACTCAATTGAAGATTTGAATTCACCACTGTGTTAGGCCCTATTTAGTGCCACTCAGTTGTAGGGGGGATTGGACGACGAGATGAATAGACTGTGAGCAGTCTCTTATTTTTCTTATTTTTCGTGGTTTGTAAAACCGCGTTAGCTACAACTAGACGGGTTTTAAGAGAAAAGGCGGACTGCAAGCAGTCTACAAGATGAATGAACAGAAAAGCACTGAAAGGCATTGCACTATACAACGATCTCACTCGTTATTATATAGATTTAGCCGAGGCTGAAAGCGAAGCTCTCGTTAATCAGGAGCCTATAGCTATCACGGCTACGTTAATATACTTAATATACTTACTCGAAAAAAATAAAATCGTGTAATTCTTTGCTAAACGGCGACGGCAACGACAATGGCAAAAAAAAAGAAAAAAAAGGTCTAATCAAGGGCCATAGCTCTTGGTCTTATTAGCAAAAAAAACAACAACAACAACTTTGCACGTGCAGCACACTATTTTGTACATTTCTTTAAGGTGAAACTTCCTAGTGAAACTTCCCAGTTACACGTTTTGTGGAGAAAATGTCGTTGTGCTCATAGTAAATTTTGTTGCTTGTGTTCCAGTTCGCTTTTTTCATTTTTCACTACTGCTCATTTTCAGCTAGCATTTGCCAAATGTTTTCTCACCGCCAGTATAAAACTTTCATGTTGTTCTTCCAACGAAATTCGTCTCCCTTGTTTTTTATCTCTCGCTCTAGCGTTCTGTCGCTATTTTTCTTGTTGAGCTTTGCTAACCTGTCGCCTACTTTCTCGTTTTCTCTATATTTCAAATTTGTGGACATAACAATTTTCATGTATTTCCCGAAAAAAGCACTGCTGGCATAATTTGCCAGCCGGATCTGGGTAGTAAATGTCGGCTGTTTTCTCAGGCTATATTAGACCTTGTAAATGAGTTTGGGAACGTTTTTACTCATCATTGCAAAATCTGTGCAAACCGTCACAGCGCAAAGATTCCTATGGAATTGTGGTTGAGGACGTATGCAAATAAGTGGCGCTGGTTTTGTTCCAGGATCCAGAAGTATATTCTAGGTGGATTCATTTGCAATGTACGCGTATAGCTGTCGCACTTGCTGAAATTTTTTTTTATTGTTTTTAGTTAGATTTATAGATGATAGCGCTCGAAAAAGGAGCATAATATGCTACTAGCAGTGCTCGTATATTTCTAAAAATATGCCAATAATTATGCTACTTTTTGTAATCTATGCTCATTTTAGCAAAATATGCAGAAATTATGTTTGTGCTTTTAACTTCAAATTCAGTGTTGAAAAATACCCCAATAACAAACAAATACATGGCAAACACATTTACAGTATCTACATCTAGAAACTTAAGAGTGCATAATTCATTCTCTGAACACTGTACTGAATAACTACTGAATTCATGCAAGAAACCAGCACTCGGACGCCATCTTGAGTAACCGAGCTAGTCGGTAATGCGCATGCGTTCACTCCTGTGGAAAGGTCCTCGATCACTTTTTGTAGGTCCCAGGTCCCATGAATGAGACAATAAGCAGACAAAATATATGTTATTTCAGGTCAAAAAAATTGGTTGCGTGGTCAGTAAATGACAAACTAGCCAAAAATGCAAATTATGCCAGCAGTTCTTTCTTCGAAAATGCTTGTCGATGAAAATTATGCTGGCCGAATGACGAATCAGTGTCAAAAGAAAGTTATGCCAGCACAATCTATCAACACCTAGTCCATATCACGAAAAGGTAATCATTACTTACGAGCTGTACATAAATTAGTTGAATTTCTTTTTCCATAATAATAATGAAATTTATTATAATAAATTGTGTGCAATAGAGGGGATCGTCAGCTCGAGTGGTCAATTCCATGACCGAATGGTAGGAATAACCTTCATTAGCAAGACAAGGGGTGATTTATAAGAATTTACAACTATTTTCAATTTGTTGTCGCTGAAATGTTTGGAAATGTTACTAAAAGTTGATGACAACGTACACTGAAAAAAGATCCCCTGTCATGTCAATTTCTCCTACGGGGCCCTCCCACGGGGCTTAAGGGGTTTTTACGAGGCCAAGGCCAAAGGTAGACCGTAAGGTTTATTTGTGATCATGTGGGATCCCTTGGTGTCGTCTTACTTCCATTTATTTTATTTCATCTTTTAGTTTTTTTTCTTTTATCTATATACATTGTATGATCGTTAATCTATTGTTTATTCATCATTTACCTTTCATTTTGATAATTTGATGCCTCTCATACCGCGTCACGCAATCTACCATCGTAAATATGAAAAAAAAAAAAAAAATCAAAATTATGTTTCTTACTATTTTTTCAACGAGAAACGCCTATGAAACCGGTAATGGATAATATTATTGAGTGTCATTTAGCTTTGAAAAGAGGTGAAAGAGGAAGATGAAGTTGAAAAGGATTAAACAAAATTTAACTTCATTCGTTTTTTAATATAATCCCTTTTTGCAGTCTGCTCATTTTTATCTACTGTTGTGCGGTTTTAATACCGAATGGGAAAAAATCAGTGTCATGTTTTTTCAATCTGATGGCTAAAGTACCTTACATTTATTGGTTCATCGTGACAATTTTGAACCAATTACTTTTGTCTTGTTGTTTTCATAAATTTCGTGATTAGCTTGTGACCATCATATGCACATATTATTAAATGTCGGGAAAACCGTCTGAAATCGTGACTATAGTCGGGTTCGTGACATTTCAACTTTTCCAGACCATTCAAAAATGCTCGCAATCCCAAAATAGCGTTGGTTATATATTTAAAGACACTTTGCGTGTTAATAAACACATTAATAAAAATAATTAAATGTGGTAGGGTTTATAAAAGAATTAAAATCTTTAACTGTTCCTTAAATAGTAACCGGCAAAAGAAGAGCAAGATATTTTCCTTTCTTTTAAAACATTAAAATTAATCTTTCTTTTAAATCAAGTAGCGTATTGTTTGTTTGTGTCGGTCTGAAATATCACGCCCGCACGCAAAATTCCATGCCAGCGTTATTGCAATATTTTATTTTTTAAAATCAATTATCTCTATGTTTTGTAATCAAGCTGACGGCGATTTTCAAGTTTTTCTGATTCACTGTGCTGTTTCTCGTGCTTGATCAGTTTTTATTTACATACCCTTTACTGTGGCTTGTTTCTGAAAGCAACACGCAACGAAATTGATAGTCACGAATTCAAAGCGCATATTTACGCATGTAATGCTGTATAATCACTGCATGCAAATAAACAGAAACTTATATTACTGGCGGAGTTCCTTATTAAATCGCCTATCCTCCAGCACTACTCATCGAATTTACCAGCATCGTCATGAATACCATGGAAACCGTAAAAAACCGTAACCTTCGCTCGCCTTAGACAAACATGACCGCATTCACGTAGCGTCACGTCTCAGCAACTTTACCTCATCTGATCCCCATTCAAAAACCCCTTTGAAAGTCTGATACGAAGTATTTTAGTCCCTCACAAAATGATTTATACGATTTTAGTCATTCTGCTTTATAAATCAGAAATAAAAGTTACCAACGAGCGCATATAACATGTTTTCAAAGGGTCAATGTTTACTGTTTGAACGGGAATTTCATCACGTCATCAGATCCCGCCCGAACTACGTCATACATCACGCTAACTGGCCCACGTAAAGCGCGCGCGATACACACTCGCGATTACAATCATGAAATGTGTCGTGGGCCTAAAATTCCGGGGGACTTTCTTCTGAACAATGAAAAAGGGCCCAAAATGGCACAGAGGTATTTTGCATGCAGTGAATAAACATGAACAGTGAATAACCATGGGCATTCAAATGAGATTTGATCAACTTCAAAAGACACACAAAATTAAAGCTGAGGTAACAGCAAAGAGGTTTTTCTGCTTATTAACTATAGCGTGTAACTCATTCATGCGTTTATCGCCTGTCTTAAGCTTCTCTCATTCTCTAACAAACCCCTGGATTAATAACTCTACCAAGCGAAAAAAGTTCTCGTGAAAGACTTTTAGTCACGAAAAGACCTAAGCAAAAAATCGACGTCTTGCATAAAAAACCGATCTGCAGTGATAAAGAAAAACTTGATTGAATCAACTGTTATTAATTCGAGTAAGTTCACATCAAGAACACATGTTGTTCTTATGCTCTGCTGAACTCGCGTGAAGATCACCTGTTTCGCTTAGATTCAATACCTTCCCTGCTACTGACATATTAAATATTGATTGCCATACCAACTTTTAGTTCTGATAACACTTGAATGGAATTCGCTTCGCTTTCACTTGAAAAAAAGCGACGATTTTAAGGCCACGCTTGTTTTGGGTTTCGAATCCTCTACTAATCCTTATGAAAGTTTCACTTTCTTGTCCTAAAAATGAAATGATCTCTCACTTGTAAAAGAATGTCCCATGCCAATTCGTGTTTCCGGTAGAGCGATTTTTCACGCAACCGGAAGAGGAGTAAAGAGCGCGTGTAATGAACGTGTAAGACATTTCACGCTTGAATGACCACACGCATGCGTGATACTAGGCAGTGACATGTAAAAGGATATAAATAACATTGAAAGTAAAATTTTTCAGAACATAACAAAGGGCATTCATCGCGTCCATGAAAGAACTCGCGAAGTTGATCTCATTCATTCGGTAAGTTGAAACTGTCAACTTGAGACGAAAATCAAAGTACAGTGCTGTTTTCTTCTTGTTTCGGTGATAAGAAAACCACTCTTCTTCTTAAAAAAACAACGTGAACGATAAACTGAGCAAGCACGCACGTATTCGCGCGGGTTTTGATTCGTTCAAATTGAACGTCCTTTAGAAACAGATCGCGTCGCAAAGAAACAGCTTCTGTCGGAGCAAGAGAGGAGTTACAAATTAAGTCAAAAGAAGTTTTAATGATAAGAAGAACTCGAAACAAGTGACTGTTTCGAGGGAAGAACTTGAGAGTATTCACAAAAGTGTCCACGTTGGAGTCTTTACACCATAATTACACGTCTCTGTTTTACTATCCCTTTCTCGACATGGGATCAAGAATTTCGGCCGTGAAGAGAAACGATCACAATGACAATCGACAAGGTGTCTACAAATCACTAAATGTCTTACACGAAGAAGATCGGGCAAGAGACTTGGCGCGACCGGAGAAATTAGACATTTTACTTGATCGACCACCTCTACCGGAAGAAGTTTTGTTAGAACACGCTTGGAACCCGAACGATCGATCGGTGAACATTTTCGTCAAAGATGACGACCCACTCACATTTCACAGGCATCCCGTAGCACAAAGCACAGACTGTATACGAGGAAAGAAAGCCTATAGTCGCGGATTTCATGTCTGGGAGATTCAATGGTCGACAAGACAGCGCGGGACCCACGCAGTGGTAGGGGTAGGAACATCTAAAGCTCTTGTTCATTGTACGGGGTACCATTCACTCGTTGGTAACAACGAAGAAAGTTGGGGATGGGACATTGTACGAAACAAACTTTATCATAATGAAAAGAACGTTTCATCAGTCAAGTATCCAGTTTTATCAGACAGTGATCATAGCTTTGTGGTCCCGGACAAGTTTCGCGTTATATTGGACATGGACGAAGGCACAATGGCGTTTGAAACGAACGATGGACGTTATTTAGGGGTCGCTTTTCGGGGCATGAAAGGAAAATCTGTGTATCCAATTGTATCTGCTGTTTGGGGACACTGTGAAATCACGATGAGATACATCGGAGGACTTGATCGTAAGTAGTGAATATTTTTCTTATGTGTTCGATGTCTGTGTGACTCACGAATTGTTGACTATATTGTTTCGTGCGCGAACGCAGATCTTTTGTTTACACTACTTCTATTATATTGTTCTTTCCTAGCGCTAAAGCTGTTGAAACAGAACTCTCTTTTTCTCCAAATTCACTTTCACTTTCTCTTAAAAAAAGATTTTTAACCAATGTGTAAGATACCTTTCATGAAGGAGTTAAAATGTCTTTGGTTGTTTACGACTTGAAATATTCATTCAGTGCAATTTCACTTCCTTTACGTCACATACGAAAATGATCTCAATGGAGCGGTCATGACGCGCACTAAACAAAGACTGTTGTTTTGCCGTTTCTCTCGTTTGTTAGGCCGGATTTGAGCCTTTTTCCATCTCTGTGTAGTGAAAGTAGAGTACTGAAAATGAGATTCTAAAATGTAAGAGAGTTTCGTCAATTCTTCTCAATGAAATAAAAAAAATTGACTATTCACGTTGCCCAAACGTGACATTTAAGTTTAGAACGGATTATTCGAGTCATTGAACACATTTGCATCTACTAGGTTGACTAAGAAAAAAACAGTTGCTATCATCTTCCACGGGGTTTTGGGGGGGGACTTTTTTTTTATTGAACCGGCTGATATTCCCCTCTTCGCTTTCGAATTATTGTTTCAACTGGTGAACGAAAATTAATAATTCATTTCCTTTAAGAAGCAAATTTATCTTTTGGGAGTTGCAGTCGCGATTTCCGCTCGTAGAAACTTGTCTATTTGCCAGAACCGTACCTTTTCTCTCCGCCGAGAATACTTTATTAAATCTTTTTGTCGTATCGGAAATTTTCAAAAGCTGCCTCTTTTAGAGAAACTTTGATCTCAAAAGCTGAATGCAAACAAAGGAACAATAAGATCACAAAGAAGCTATTTCGTTTCGCTGTTCAAAAAGCGTGGCGCGTGCCGAACCACCTGTTGCATGTAGCGAACGCTGAAAGCGTGGCACAAAGCCATTCAAAGACCAGTATGCAATCCATAGAACGCGAAAGAGTTCCTGCCGTCTGCACAATATTGCGATCCAACTTAAGAGTTTTCTTTTAAGAACTTTAAGTTTTGGTTTTCCGTTCCCCCACCCACAAAAAGCAGCCCTCTGTTACCACAGAGCTTTTGTCATGTAGAAAAAATGTTTGCCAAGGAAAAAAAATTTTTCGTTGTTGAAGTAATAATGACACTGTTAGAAAAAAATGAGAGCCCTGAAAGAATATTTTTGATTTGTTAGAAAAGTTTAATATACTTTCTTTTATGAAAGAAAACAAAATGGGCTCTTGTGCTTGAAATTCGAAAAAAGGACCTTTAGAAGCTACAGTTTTCAATCATTGGAAAGTGAAATTGCATTACTTTCGAGTTCATGCATCCTCTGTTATCTTTTCAAGTAATATGAACTGCAATAAGTATTTAGCCTTATTATTTTCTTCCTTTTCTTACTTGGGAACATCACCATTGCTTTAAATTGGACAAAACCCAGTCGACAGAACAAACAGATGTAAACTGGAAGAGATTGTTAATGGATAGGCACCTGTTGCTATGTGTTAGAATAAGTTGTTATCCTTGATCCAGATTGCTTAATTTATGTTGAGTAATCAAATTAAAAGTATTAATCCCATCAGTGGTAGTGATACCAAAAGTACTGTCTATTTTCAAACTTAATGAAGCTTTCTGTGAGCTTAAGAGAAAATCAATCTTTTCATCTTGGGTGGTATTTAATCTTGAAGCTTTATTGTTGTTATTCGTGTTTTTTGGTCCATTAAACTGTACTTATTGTCCTGCGTGGCTTTGGGTGTGGTTTATTAAACACAATCTTTTTTTTTTCTTTTCAAACAGCTGAACCTCAGCCACTGATGGATCTATGCCGTCGCACAATCCGCAAATCTCTTGGAAAAGAACACCTTACCAAGACTAATGTGGACAAACTTCCAATTCCTGTTCCTATGAAGAAATACCTTTTATACCAGCAAGGGTGGTGACAGCGACAATCTCGCTCTAATATGAAATGATACAATCTGATTCCCTTAGCAGTTTGTAAAGTAGTCTACCCCTGTGTCTTTGTATTTGTTGAACTGTCAGAGAAACAGGCAAAATACCTTTTTTAATCATCTAGTGACAGATACATTGCCCCATCACTTTCATCAATCAAATGGTGACTTTAGAATTGCCATGGATTATTAAGTAATGAGTATTGTCAGTTTGTATGCAAAGTTTTTGCATAAGAGTTTTCTAAGACACTGACCCCGCAAAATTTTGTGGTTAACCCAAACTGTATGGTGCTTTAAGACCAACAAATCTGTATGGGATTGTGCGAAGAAAGAGAGGTTCCAACATTTTGAATATAATTTTGGAGTAGTAATTTATTGAGGTTTTTTTTTTGAGGAAAAATTATAGTATCCTTTTGTCGAATCAAAAAAAGCTAATTGTTTAGTTGTTTTGGGTGTTAATAAGATGTTATATTACAGTACCTAAATTGTTTCTGTTTACAGTGATGGGCAACCTCTTTAGGCCAAATTTATCACAATTATTTAATTATTGAGAAGTTTATGCATACACACATACAGTGTGTCAGGGAAGAGTATTTTGAATTCTAAGACTTGTTTCTTAAGAAAAATCCCCTAATGTGTCTCTCTCTCACCGAAAGTTTTCATGTTTTAATTGTTTTGTTTTTTTGGCATACCTGTAAGTTGGTTCAACTTTTACGCATAATTGCTTACATTAAGGAGTTACTGGTTTTACCAAAAAGGGCGCAAGGTTTTTACAAAGATTTAAGTTGAAGTTTAAAAACAGTTATTGTTGTTGTAAATAGCATAGAGCTTTAAAGCTATTCTTTTAAGTATTAAAAGATAATATTAATTTATTTATTATTGAGGTCTTGCCTCTATATATTACATTAAACAACAATAGTATTCTTTTTAATTTAAATGTTAATTACAATTTAATGCCAAGAGAGACATCTAAAGAGTCAAATTAAGTCTGGGGAATATTAAGTTTTTATTTATGGAAAACAGAGAGTGCTAGGTGACTTGAGAATTTAAAATGTAAAAAGCTGACAGGCCTTAATATTTATTTGATTAACTTTGGTCTGTGCAAATAAATGTTTTACATGGAATGTTTATACAGAACTTGTTACAGCAAGTGTTTTATAAGAACATTTGGCTCTCTAGTTCATCTTTCTTGACCTGGTTTCATTATAATCTTGAATCGTTCAAGAAAATATCTATTTTCTCTCCATATCGGGTCATTGAAAATTTTGATCGGGAGGGGTGCGAAGGTCTTAAAGACCAATATTTTATTACCAGAATTTCCAGAGGGGGTGGGGGTTCAATCAAAAAACCCTCCATGGGGGGAATATAGATATTTTCTAGAACAAAACAATTTATTTTCATGGTTATTTCTTTCATTTAAGGGAAGTTTACCAAAAGTGGCTGACAAGTGCAGTTTTTGCACTTTTTTGTACATTTTGCTTTTTAGACTTGATAATGTCACAGTCAATATTCTTTTTAGTGCAGACAACTTATTTTGTTTTAGTCTGCCATGGGATCTACACTTACCAGATAAAATGATAATTTATTCCCAACAAAGAAGATAGGAGAATTTTACATTTGAATAATATGCAATTTCAACGTGTAATTTATTTATTGAATTCATTAGCTAGTTGATTATGTTAGGGGTTTATAAGAAATGTTCCATGAGAATGTCTCGTTTATTCCTCACAGTTAAGTTACCAGAATAAAATCTTTGAAACAAGTGAACAAAAGATTCTGTGGTGCTCTGTATGTTTTAAAGGGCCTTTGTCAAGCTATGCGCTGAAACGTGTCTTTGCATCAATTAAATTCCAACAATATAATGGTCCAGGTTGTCGTTAAGACTATTTTTAGACATTGAAACTGTTTCCTGTCGTCTGTTGCATGCTGTGGATGGCAAGGATGCAAGGACTTTAATTGTAACTTGAAAACATTCTGCCACCTTTTCTTACGTTTTTCGATGCTACACCTGCAAAAATTACCAAAAAATTGTTATGATTAGTGCTCTCTGGTGAAAATTGATTGATATATTCGTATCTCTACAGGGTTAAGGCGCTAGCTAGCTAGGTAATGGCTTCGGCACAGTTTTGACCAAATCAGGAATCAGATCCTCGTGACATTACCCCTTAAAGACAATTGTCTTCGGCAAGAATTTGAAGTAAATTGACCACGTAACTTTAAAAAATCATAGCTCTGCTGTTATTAGGTTGAATATCATCTTCAAAGCAAGTGTTCGAAAGTGTATTCTTGACTATAAAGGCCGTTATTAACAATGACTTAACCAATAGTGACAAACTTGTCAGGCGTGTTTAATCATAAAAAGCTTTACAGGATGAACACTTGGTGCTGAAACGTCTGAAAAGTAAGTTTTACTTTGCCCTTGCACGCCAGACTATAATCATATTGTTATCGTTTTTGATTTTGGACAAGAAGCGATCTGCCTTTCTTCATCCAAACCAGAGACCTGCTGTCAAAAATGATTGCTAATTTTCTAAGAAAAAAAGTTCATTTACAGCAGTTTTAGTGGAACCGGAAGTCCTTTTTTTGTTTGCTAACTTTGAGGAAGATCATTGCTGTCTAATAAACTGGAACGAACATTGCCGTCAGATCTGATAGCGTTTGAAGCAATATCCGGTTGTCAATCAAAAGGTTAAGAGGGGCAGTTACAACTTGACCTGTTATTTCCTTCTGAGCACTTGTTCAATCGACTTCCTGTTTATCTCTACAATCTGCCCGTTTTCACAAGATAGAATTGTGCAATCGTCAACTTTATTTACCTAATTTTAAAACAGTGCATGATTCAACTTTAAAATTTGTAAATGTAGAAGAGAAAGAGATTTTTATATCACGTGTTTATGTTTATGGATACTTATCTTTTATACTGAGCCGGGTCGTATTTGTCAAAACATGCGCGACAGGTTGCCTAAGTCTTCAGCTTGGTCACGTATAACTCATGAACGCAAATAGTTTACAGTCAAAACCCGTTAATACGGATACTAAGGGAGTCATAGAAACTATCCGTGTTATTGATGGGGTGTCCGTCAAATGTCCGTTGTCCATAGAGAAAATGTAAGGGCTTTCTTTCCCCAGGGACAAATCAAACTGTCCCTATTTTAATGGTCTTCTGGGTGTCCGTAAAGCGATAACTCGAATTTCCCGCTAACTCGAACTAAATTTCATTTCCCTTGATCAAAGTTCTCATTGAAATTTACCCGATAATTCGAATTCCCCGCTAACTCGAACTGTTTTTCGTTTCCCTTCAGAGTTCAAGTTACTGGGGTTCTATTAGGTGTCTTTTTTGTATATATTTACTGTTAGTCTCCACCGGTATTTTCCGAGGAGCTGTGCTAGGAAATTCATCAAAATTGAAACAGCGGGAAAAGCTACTAAATTGAAAGAAACGTAGCAATAACCTCTCAAATCATGAAAAGAAGCGGTTTTAATTACACAGCAAATTCAAAAGGACAAACTTAAAGAAGATTGAAACGGGTTGCAATTGTGGTTGTATGAAAACTTGTTTGCCTGACAGTTTTTCAAAGTAGAGTGCAATGTAGACTTTCAAAAAAAGTCCCTCGTCCGATTTAATATGGCGCTACCTCTCGCGATTTCGTCGCTCTCTAACTGAACTCACGAGGTCGACTTGTAGCAAGTCTAGGTGCAATGTGCAAAAGCTAAAAGTACAAGAAGTTGTAGGTTATGCAGCCGAAGATCAAAAACAAATCCGACTCTAGCTGGTGACAAAACCATTGATCAGTTTTACAGTCATGATTGATTAATACAGTCTATCATTTATTAGTGAATCAATAATAAGGGGAAGGGTGGGGGGATAAAAGAAAGGGCTTATTCATTAGAGAGAGGGGCTTAATTGTTTTTTTACGGTACGCTTATATGTACTCAAACGTACGTGTTCATTTACACGCAAGAAAGACCCCGATCAATCCTTTGTCGAGATGCACTTTTATTTGGGTTTACTGTGTTCACAATAAGTAATTCAGCTGGGCTTTTTGATTTTCTTTCATTGAGTGGATTGTCTAAGGAAGAATCCACTGCCACTTTTTTGAATTATCTGGAATGGTCTCACTGTGGTCTACAGTGACTGGAGAAAAAGCATAGTGTGAATGTGAAAACGTATATTGCTAACAGTCTCTTGTTTTCTTGAAAGTCACAGGAGTAGGACGCGCGGGCGGCGAGCACAGCCGCGAGAAACGAGGGCATCAGCTCGAGAGGGGAAGAAAAATAAGTGTTTTTAGTGCTTACGCTTACTCCGCCTGAAACGGATCTAAAAGAAAAGGCGGACTGCTAGCATTCTAGTGAAAACGTTGCCTGACCTTGCCTACACTGCTGAAAATTTTTTGTCCTAACTTCCTGTTTCCTATCAAGAAGGAAAAACTGTACCTATACCGCGGGCGCATCGAGACACTCAAGGCTGCAGACTCAGTGAGCCTACCTCTGACTCTGATGATAAGGGTTATACTGAATCATGTCTTCACGCGTCGCTTTCCAGTCACGTACAAACCAAACCAAGTACGCAAGCGACATGAAGACTCGACGAAGCGACGAAGCGACGAAGCGAAGCAATGCTGTGCTTTTTGTTCAAAAGCGACCTTTAACCCTTTCTTTAGACGCCCTTACAAACAAATGTCAACAGAATACAAACTTTCTAACCTGTTTCATTTAATTCCACTCGGGCTTGCTGGATATGAGATGAGTATACATACCCAACAGATAACCTTGAAAAGAAGCCAAGTACACAACTGACAAGCGACGCGAGCGACTTCGTAAACTATAAAGCTATGCAGAAGAGAAACCTCTGCTCGCAGGGTATAGTTGACCTAGTTTATATCCCAAAAAAGTAGCCTCTGCTCACATAGTAGGCCATTGAACGTATGCACACCGTCCACTCCTAGATCAAATCGAGCATAAGGGCAGTTACGCCGAACTCTTTCTTTAAAAAGCCCCCCCCCGCTCCTAACTCTTTCTTAATAGTCGCCATTACAAACAAATAAAAACAGAATACAAACTTTGTAAGCACTTGGGCTTGCTGGTGAGATGACTATTTACGTACGCAACAGATAACTTTTATCCAACCAACATACAAAAAAGGACAAATTGCTTTAACATCTATGCAGTTTTACAACTTATTAGAAATTCCTAAATGCGAAAGTCTAAATTAAAAACGCTTAGTTCAGATAGTTATGTTTTATCGCGGATCTTCTGCAATCGTGTGGAACATCATCAGTTAGAGTTCTGTTTTTAAAAGCTCCGTTTAGTATCGTTATTTTTTCGTAACTTGTCGTAAGCCATCGTTCGATTTTCGTCAGACCTCAGCAACTATATCGAGGGATTAGATCAGAAAATATGAGATCAGCGTTTATATTTAGGACAATTGGTTTTCCTTTGTTTCCTTAATTAAACAAGATATCCAAACCAAGTTTGATTCCACGCCCCAAAAAAATGGAATAAGAGCCAATAGTTGTTTGCAATGAGCTATAAACAGGACGCTACTCCGCGTGTTATCAGCTTAAGACGAACTTGGAAAAGTCTTGAAAATGTTAACAAAATAGCAATGGAAATCCAGGAAAATAACGATCGAAATGGAAGCAGGCAGTCTCGCAAGAGAGCCAGATCAGAAAGCGAGGATCCCAAAACGAGAAAACAACGGGAAAAAAGAGATTTAGAAGCAATCTGTGATGCTGCCAAAAAACTTAGTGAAGCGTTCGGAAGGGTGGACCGCTATGGGCACGATGTACCCTGTATTCGACCGGTCCGCGAGCTTTGTGGAAAAATACGAGCCCAGCTTAACAACGAGCATGGAACGTTTAACAGAACTCTAGAACGCCTGTGCGACAATTTCGTGTCGGGGCATAAGAAAATCACCCACTCTGCCACAACTTTAAGAAATTTGGTCAACTCTGTTACGAGCGACGAAACTGATTACATCGCTAAAGTAGAAGACATGAAGCAGTGTTTGGGTCAGCTTATGGGGATAGTGGAAACAGTGTTGTTTTTAGAATATCGCGAGTTATAGACCTTCTCATTTCTTTCAGTTAATCTGCCAGGCACTTGTGACTGAATATGATTGCCAGTGACTCAACGAGACACGCTTAAATTCTGCAGATAAAATTCGATATTAATAATATTAGTACATCGTTAAGTGTAAGCGAATGTTAACGATTAGAAGATTTCTGGAAGAACGACTGCTTGACATCAAAGCTTAATTTGCTGACGGTTCCAGCGTCCGCCATTCTGATCTAGGCCTGGGTTCATTTAGCCGGCAAGATTACGGCAATTTTATGTTAAAAAAGACATAAATTAATATAACTTCTCAATTTTTGATACCGTAACTATTATTTTGCTTTTAAAACTCTGGATTTCGCCGTCACCTGCCACTGTACCCTGGTCACCCGTGACATTTTACCAGTTCAACTGCCAGCGAAACAGATTGCCTTTCCAACAAATAATAGATATAAACACAGCTATCACCGGTCGTATGTGAATTGATTTAAAGGGCATACTATATATATACCATGGCAAAATGACGACAATAGACCTTATTCACGATACCCGCCATATTTGAACGCGCTTTGGATTGATGAGATAAAAGCGATGTCACGTGGTATTTCAGGAGGCAGGCAATCAAGTGATAAAATTTATCAATACGAGGAATCGCTGTAGAGTTTGTTTATGCTCTCAAAACGAGACGACGAGTTTAGTTTTGCAGAATGAACAGTTCGAGTACAAGTTTAGTATTACTTACTCTCAGAACATCTACGGTCGCTACTGACTGCATCCTGAAAAGAAACAATGATCACTTCCACTCATAATTTGCCATCATCGTCTTTAAGATAAAAAGTTCTTTCTTTGTTATCCAGAATAAACAAACTCCACCGCGATTTCTTGCAATGGCAGGTTTGATCACTTGTTTGCACCCTGAAAATTCACGTGACATTGCTTTATCCCATCAGTCCTAAAGCGCGTGCAAAGATGGCGGGTATCGCGAATAAGGTCTATCACCCCACATTAACTAAGAAACAAAATAACCATTATTGCTCTTAGATTTCGTATAGAACTTGTCTGTGTCACTTACTTAGAGATTTCCGCCTTATAGAGAGTCATGAGACGGACATCTCCTTAAGACAGACACTCAGTGCCGAGAGAGAGTTGTTGACTGTATTCTAATAATAAGCGAATCCCAACAAATTAACAGTTCACAATAATAGACTACTAAGTGTTTCCCAAGACTCCCAAGATTACAGTTGGAAGCCAAACACGCTTGTTAGATATGGTCATCCTCGTTTCCAGGATTCCGGCTCTCTTACTTGTCACCCGGGGTAGGAGAGGAATCTAGGAACGAGGTTGAGGGAGGCTTTCACTAGCCTCCCACGCAGGCGTTTTTAGGGGAACTGTATTTCGTCCCTCCCCACAAACGCAGTTTGTGGGGAGGGAAGAAATACGAGTTCCCCTAAAAATGCCTGCGTGGGAGGCTAGGCTTTCACCAGTGCAGTGCTTGTAGTTTGCCACGTAGTTATCACTACTGTTTTGTACGTGAGATGAGATCGACTGACTTAGTTTTGTCACTATTATTTAGTTGAGGAAATAATTAGAAGCACAATAATTGTTTTTGGCAGGAAAAGCTGTTAAACCACAATCTTCCCATCTGGTCAGAACGATATTCATGGCCGGGGATGAAGTTTCTTCCGCCACGACAAAAGTTCATGGTGGCCGTCTATATCATTCTGTATAACCTTACTTATTTATAGCGCCGACAGAAAAATGACCAAAATATCATTTCGATTAACTCAGACTAGTTAATCGCATTAGTCTCAGGTTCACGGAAGCGAAAGCCTTATGTAGGAAGTCATTTATGCATTTATAAAACCGATATGTCAGCCGGGTTAATGTGAATAATACTACAAGATAGGACTAAAAAAGCATTGTGAAGTTTGTCATCTTTATTGCGAAAATTTGAAGGGCATGAATTTCCGACTTGAGGGCCAAAATAAGTTTTACTATCGTAATAACTTCTATTACAACCAATTTTTTTTTTTGCAAATTAGTCATAGCCTGCGTAGCAATCGTTTCCGGGCGAGTTAGTCGAGGAAGTTGGGACGAACAGGCTAAATTAGCTATTAAATTAAGCATCGTGCGTGTATGAACTCATTAAAAGTTTAAAAGTTCTGTATGACTTATCCATTCACCCCCGCATCATCAATTTGGGCGTTTTTAGAGTAACGAACTTCCCTACGATGTCGAAAGTTTGGTTTTTGACCTTTTATTTTCCAGTTATGACACTTATTCCCAGAAAATAAACCCTAGACTGCGGTGCAGCCGGCCCACGTATCACATATACTGTGGATATAGTCCAAGGTTTAAAGGGTCTGCGCGCAGGCTAATAAACCCCTGAATTTTCCGTTTTGGACATATAATCAGAAATCGAAAGTTTCCGTCAGGATCTTTACTTCATAGCTCAGTTTGGTGAATGACGCCTAAGATTTTCGTAAAATTATCTTTAAAAAGCTCTAAAAAGGCTAAATTGGGGCCCTTGAAATACCAAACAGAAAGAAAATAGAAAGCTATTGGTTGGGTGCCTGCGAAGATTCTCGAGCGACAGAAATTTTCTCGAACTGATATTCAGTACGACAAGAGAACAATCGAGCAAGCCAAGATAATTTAACCACCACATACCAATTCATCCGTGAATCAGCTATGCGGGTGAACATTTTCCCGATATCAAAGTAATACCAGCGCAAAAATACTGGCTCTCAAACGTCAACGTGCTTGATGTTCATTTACCCCATTTGAGCTCGACTGATTACCCGAGTGGGTAAAGCCTCCATGTTAGATCCACCTGGTGTCCCGAAACATTTAATTACCATATAAATGTATTATATCACCAGAACCCATGTTAACCGCCTAAATAACCTTGTGAAAATTTAGCAATTTAGCAACATTTTACCCCGTTTACCCTAGGATATCCACTTTTCGTCCTGTATGTTCATGTTTACCCTTACATTATCCACATTTCACAACGTTTACTGGTGTTTACCCCTATCTGTCCACGTCTCACAGCGTTTGCTTGTTTTTATCCATAGGTATCCACGTTCCACAACGTTTACTGGTGTTTACCTCTATTTATCCACGTCTCACAGTGTTTGCTTATTTTTATTCCTAAGTATCCACGTTTTACAGCGTCTAATAGTGTTAACCCTAATTTACCTACATTTCACCACGTTTACTGTTCACCCATAGTTAACTTCGTCTCACCCTGTTTACCCCATATATACGGGAAGCCTGGTGGGCCTTACATGGTAGCATTACCCAAGACTGGGTAGTATAGGCGTCGCGTAGAAAACAAAGAAGGGAGTTGGGTGGAGATGGTAGGCCACACGAGCTACATTTACGCTAGCAAATTGACATGGAAAACCTCTATAAAACGGCTAGTGGTGTAAACGGGGAACTTGAGAAGGTTTCCCTAGTCGAAGAAAAACTGATCGTGTAAACGGGCGCATACTACCATCAGATTCTCGTTTAATACGTATACCAGGGTTGTCTGTTACCTTCTCTCTCTCGCTCCGGAGTGACGAGTAGGAGAGAACCCTGGGAACGAGGTTGTCTTTATCATTGATATACTCCCACCTTACCCGCACTCCGTCCATGCAAATAAAAAGCACCGTTGCTCTTTCAACCACGTGTCTAGCCCGCGAGTGAGCACTCCATTTACAGCAAACGAAGCGAACTGCGAGAGAACGCGCAAGAGAGCGACGAGGCACTCGCGTCTCCTTTAGCGCGCCGCTCTCGCGTGACTTTTCGTGACTCCCCTAAATACATGGAGAGCTTGCCCGAAGGCTACCACGTAAAAGGGGACACACATCAGTCCTCAACTGACACTCACATAGCCAACAATCTCAGAAGTTGACCACAATTGGAAAGGTTCAGCATGTGACTTGACTATGTGGTTTCCGTGGGTCTTGTTGCTGAGCAACACGTGCGAATCGAGTGTCGGATCAGGGAACTGACACCTTTCCGTTTCTTCTCTTTTATATTTGTCAGGAATCAAAGAAAGATTACCATGAAAAGTTTTCCGTGTTTTCCCTGCGGATATTTTCTCACTGATCAATGAAAGATTCTTTTCCACATAGTGATGAACTGAAATTACCTATGATCTGTAACTAATTTTAAGTAGTAGTAGTATGTGGCATATTTTAATTGTTTACATGAAGTACCAAAACACGTCATATAAGATGTATTTCACTGACCTGTATATTTCTGTAAATTCGTGATTTCTCATAAAACTCTCATAAAGACTGGTATTGGCCAGTAAGAATATCCTTTCTAAGAAAAAACTGAAAATGTTTTTTAAGTATCGCTTTAAAATCCATAACAGGTATAGCTACGAAAGGAAATGATTATTCAGGTTTGATTTTTGGCAGCGGATGTTTTGGATAAAAGCCGACTGCATTGCATCTTGACGGAAGCATATAACCTTGATCTTGACATATCGGACAAATGAAGCATCAATATTCAATTTAAAACTCCTGTCCCGTGTCTGCGGAAGATCGATCAGTTTTTCGAGATTCTCCAGTCAATACTTTCTTTTATATCGGATCAGTTATTTTTTTTAACTCATCGAGCAGTTTTTGTGCGATAAAATGTACTAATCAGCCGAATTTTTCAAGTTTTATAGGACGTATAATAAATTCTATTTTGTTTTGAGCGATGATTTTACCTTACTTTTTGAAAGGCCGGGAGGGCGGACATTTTCGATGGTCAAATTCTTTTTTATCAGTTTTTGTCAGCTTATTCCTGATTGGGCAACGATTTTCTGTCACAGTTATGCAAAATAAGTTTGATGACATTGCGGGGTATTGCATCTTAAGAGATATCTTTGTTCCCGTCTGAAGATGCCATCTGCGTATTTTGTAAGACAGTGCCGGTAATCGCCATGCCAGCCATCAATCGCTAAAAGACAGAAAAATCTCCAAACATAATCCTATTAAAATGGATATTAATAAATGGATATTATTGCTATTTTTGGGTGCCTAACAATCAGATATGATGCGGCTCTTCCATTCATAGTGTTGTGGTTTTCACTGACTAATCAGATTCTTATCCCCCAAAGCTATTTGTATTGAGCAAAGCAACTTATGCGACTCATTTTACACCACAAAAGGGCTTTATAAACATCTTAATTCACTGATTCACAACACTACAATACTTCCGGTATCCACCCAACCCGCTTTGTTATTTTTTTTTTTCAAAGGGCCGCTGCTGGTAGGGGCGGAAACTGGAACTAAGGCTGTAAACATGCGTTGTTAGACTCTCTAAAAGTCCTTTAATTTTTTTTCTCGTCCTGGTGCTCCTGTCCTTGGTTATTACTTCGTCGGTCGATCAGTCGCTGCGCGACCACGTTCAGGCTCGCTTCACTTGCTAACAACTATACAAGAGGTCGACTTGTTGCACGTCTAATGCGCAGTTGACGTTCGAATTTCTTACCCGCAATTTAATAGTTGAAAACTACTTTTGTAAACCAAAACATCTGATTCATTCCGCGACGTCACCAGTACCCAAGAACTGGTTTCCGCGCGAAATGACAAAACAGTGGTGTCGTCGCGAAATGTCGCCTGTTTTCTTGAGCTAACTTGAGCTAACGATTACGAGCCTTTTTTTTCCATTCCACGCTCGGCTCGCTTCGCTCGCCAATTTTCTTTTTCCCCCGCTCGATTTGGGAGCCTGCAATCAGTTCTTTTTGGGCGGATAGAGCTAAAGTCGAAAAAGAAGGACCAACTCAGTGATATCGCAAGTTAGCTAGCCAACGATCTCATAGCCAGTTTCGCATTAAACCCGGCATTAATAAAGCCCGAAGGGGGGAGGGTTCTTGTCGTACCTTTTAGGGGTTTAAATTTGTGGATTGGTACCGCTTAGGGTGCTAAAACATAGAATGACTGCTGCCAGAGTTGATACGCTTTATTAGGATAAAGATTTTTGACAATACTTTCAAGAAGTCCTTGAGAAGAAAGTGTTCAAAAGTTATCTTATTACTATTAAAATTTGCAGGGCCAGTTACAGTAATTTGTTGTTGTCGAATTGGCACCTCTTAGGGGTGGAAATGAATTTGGAACACGCCCATAAAACAAGATTCTGGTACCTTTTAGGGGTGCCGTCTCGAAATTTTATAGGGGAGTATCCCCCTGGCAATAAAGCCCAAAATTTAACTATGTTTTGGCGCGTGAGGTTTACCATCTGCTCAGGGACACCCAACGTCAATTTTCGTGAAATGTCTGTTCGGAAGATGATTTGAGATGTAGAATTCTTCTAGAATTTTGTCTGCCTCCCTAGGATTTTCGAACATCTAAAAAATGGCATAATTGTCCAATTTTAACGGATTTTTACCCTAAAAAGGTCACCTAGAATTTTCGGGAGCCCTTTTACTGGCTGATATTTTCGAAAAGGTAAGTTTTGATCCCTATGATTTTATGATCACTAGACTTTCAGCCAAGAAATCCGAACAGATGAAACATTTTTAGGGGATAAAAAAATGACTATATCTATCGTTTAAATACTAAAATACGTTTAACAATGCTATGTTAAAGTGCTTTTGAACTATACTCTCGTTGGGTGCCCCTGTCTGCTCCAGGCCAAAACTTGTCTACACCGTGGCAATAACTTTCTGTACGATCAGAAGAATACAGATGGAAGCTGGGGTAATATGCGCCGCGTCGGGAACAACATGGTTCTCGACTAACCACAGCGGATATTTTGTAAACTGTTCAAATAAGCACGGATCTCGAAATGAATAAACAAATACTTCCCTGTAGTAAGTAAAGGTTTTGAAAGGTCTCTCAAGAAATCCTGAAGTCGTATTACACTAATTAGAGTTTTCTTGCGGCGAGTCGAAAAGGGATGGGCAGTTCTTTGCTCCCCTCCTTCATGAAGTACACCATAGAAACATTTTTGCAGTAAAGGTGCTGGTAGGCTTTTTCTACAGAAACCACAACAGTTGGAACAGACGGGCTTTCAGTCGCGGTTAGTTTTTACATCCGTTCCGCAAACCAGGAGAGGAAAATATGAAAGATAAGCTGCTAAAATAATAATACATTTGTCCTGGGGTTACCATTACACTCGTTTTTTATATAAGAATGCCGTCGATTTTCGAGTTGTGCCTGGAGAGTTCCTATTATTTTTGTTCTTACATTTCAATAACGGAAATCTGCTACATATAAACAAATAAGGCAATGATTATAGCCTTCATATTAATGAACTGTACAGGTACAATGCAAATGTATTATTGGCCGTACACAATGTAATGTGTTGAAAGAACAAAACTTTTTACACGCACTCTGATTCCAAATAGGACATTATGTAATTCAGATTTTTTGGATCTAGGAAATAAGTAAAAACAGTGAAAAATGAATTGTTCTTCTCTGAGACTCGGGTATGTTCTAAGCACGTTCTTAATACTTTGCAAATTTCAGGCTGAACGTTCTTATAAAAAATTTAGTGTATACGTGATTTCTCATCCTCGTTAATGATAAAGTGTTTTGATCGTGGGTTTGATATAATAGTCCGTTTAAATTCCTACTTCGATTTCCTGTAAGCCGCGCGCTATAAAGATCAAAACACTTCAGCATTCGTTCCATGAAGCCGGAATTTTCTTGAGTAGCTGAGGCTTCCTCTTAGCACGTACTTTGATTTGTTTGTTGTTGTTTTTTTCCCTTTGATATTGCTCCAGAGGGCTAAAAAGCTTCTCTCTTGAAATTCGTAAAATTCTCGTGGCATGTTCAGGCTCTAAACTTAGAATAGCTGATATAAGATATAAGACTGACAGAGTGAAGAGATAGCTATCTCGTCATCATGTCGTCATACTTGGGAAACGGAATAAACATCGAGGTGGCCATTGAATACTGACAAAGTTTCAAATGTTCAATGCGGAAAACTCAATCTAAATCGAAACCGCACGAGCGGACATAAACTTTCTTTGTTCAATTGCTAGCCTGTGGCAATCTTTTTGAGCCACGCACGAGCGAGTCGCGGTTAACATCGCGCAGGAATTCACTCCCCGCGACTCTCAAATGGAGAGTCTGCGCATGCCCGAAAGCATAAACTTTCAGATGACCAAAATAATTCTTCAACTAAACGTGCCGTAACATTTAAAAGCACGTTGTATTTATATATCACTTACCAAACTTAAAAGTCTGGTAAGTTTTCGACATAATCGTATAGCAGTAAAGGTTATCCTCTTACTAAACCTGCTTCACCACAAGAGAACAATAGTATTCCATGTATCTTCACCGGTAAACGATTCTCAACATTTTTTCTCGCCCTAAAAAGTTTATCTNAAACCGCACGAGCGGACATAAACTTTCTTTGTTCAATTGCTAGCCTGTGGCAATCTTTTTGAGCCACGCACGAGCGAGTCGCGGTTAACATCGCGCAGGAATTCACTCCCCGCGACTCTCAAATGGAGAGTCTGCGCATGCCCGAAAGCATAAACTTTCAGATGACCAAAATAATTCTTCAACTAAACGTGCCGTAACATTTAAAAGCACGTTGTATTTATATATCACTTACCAAACTTAAAAGTCTGGTAAGTTTTCGACATAATCGTATAGCAGTAAAGGTTATCCTCTTACTAAACCTGCTTCACCACAAGGGAACAATAGTATTCCATGTATCTGCACCGGTAAACGATTCTCAACATTTTTTCTCGCCCTAAAAAGTTTATCTGCAGTAAGCTTGGGCTATTTTATATGCATACCCAGCTACTTAGTTTTTTTATTTATTAATTCTTCTTCTTGTCAAAGAATAAACCGCCTCGAAAGTTGCCTAATTTACCGGAAGTCGAAAGAAAATTTTCATTTCCAGTTGGCAAATTTTGAGTTCATCGCAAGAGAAGCCAATTCACATTCAAAGAGTCAATTTTGCACCACCCTTATCTTGCGTGCCTAAGTACTTGCTAGTTTTGACAGTTTCTGCTTTGTTTTTCACTAATCATATACTAATCCCTTTAAAAGCTGTCCGCGTCCAGCAGAGCACCGTATGGGACTCACTTTACAATATTTTTGTTTCAATTAGGGCTTTATAAACAACATAACTGTACTGAACTTCACTGCAGTTTTTTCGGGAATGTTCCCAAAACCCAACAGCTTCGTCAGATTAAATCTTATCTATTCATCCTGTCTTGTCCTCAATACCATCTCAAAAGCACCAAGGCATGGGAGCAAAATAGCTCTCTTGTTTCATGAAAGAGGGCAGATACTGCGTGATCTGATTCTGAGAGGCGTGGTGTTATAAGAGGATCCCGCGCTTTGTTAGGAACGCCCTACAAAAGTCACGCTTTATGACATCGCAGGTGTTGCAAGATATTTATCACAACTCGCTTGATTACACGATAAAAGTTCGCCCTAGTTTCATTTTGCCATAAAAAAAAATAGTGTTTCGGGTTTCAAGAAGGAGGCACTTTTCGAGGCCATTAATAGCTAGTATATTGTGTGATTCGTGTGGATTCGTTCCAGCGCTCGAGGTTTTTGCATGAATTTTTAAACACTCGGTTGTTAAAACAACTGGGTTGCTGGTAATGTCTTCAGTTCAGAAATCTTCCCAGCCGGACAAGCATAGGAGCACAGGTAACTAAACGTTCTTGCACTTTCTTTTGTCTAAAAATTATTACCCGAATAGAAATTTTATACTAAGAACAATGCGCTGTAATAGACTGAGATAACTAAAACAAAGTCATTCGTAAAACGAATTTGAAACTGTTGTGTGAAAGTCTTGAGTGTTTGCATCGCCGTAAACCATGCTCTAATATAAAGATGTTGTATATTTGATGCATAGATTTCCTCTACTAATTGTTTTTGAAAGTTTTTCCTATACGAAGTTTCTACTTTAAAGAGCCTACAACTCTTTCGCGTCCTCTAATTGTTCTACACGTGGAAATCAGGTTCACGATTATGGACCTCGTTAATCCACCCTTTTTCAATTTCATTCGCAATTTTCTTACCCTCGGTTTCCATAAACAAGCTGTCGTGAAGTCCTTTATCATAAACTTTTTCTAGTCATCCGTTCATGCGTTGAAATTAATTTTACGCCTTTTGCCAACGAACTTTGGCTACAATTCATCGTGTTTTTGTTCACTGAAGTGCCTCCCCGCGGTGAATCATAGCTATAATAAGTAGTTCACTTTATATCAGTAGTTATGAACTTGCCATGGCGATGGCATGTGCTAAATACCTTGACGAATGGTATATCTGCGTTATCCCTTCAACCGTTCTCGAGACTGAACTATCAAATTTTCTAGCACCTCAATTTCAATAGAACTGTTTTTAGTTTCAAAAAACAATGGAATCACATGTTGTAACGTGTTTTCAATAAGCAGCAATAAATACCCCGCGAACTGTACTCCACCCATTTGAACCAAATGTTTACAAACTGACTCTCCGAGAAAGAATTTTCAAATTCCCGGCTTAAGCTGAAACAACGAAAGTTTCCAGTTGAATTAAAAATATATCGGCACTTCAAGGTTGGCGCGGGTTTTCTTTTCAATATATCCGCTACCATAACTCAACATGTTTAATTTTTCTTGAAAATGTAAACCTGTCAAGTTCCACGAGTGACCGTTTCCAGCTGTTTGGCCGCGCCAAATTAAGAAAGCCTTCGGTCCCAAGCTGTATTAGTCCAACACTAAAAACCGTCAATTGTCGTTATAGACTAAGACATTGTTTTGACTAAGTTAGTCAATTTTCTTTCTTTCCATTGGTTTTAGTAGGCCAATTTTTTATCATTACTTCTAGGTAACGACAAAACCTTTCACACGCTTGCTTGAACAAAAACACAGTGACAGTATTTAACGTCCGTGAACACATGTTGAAACCGAAATCACCCACCTGTTGCACGCATGCACGATTTTACAAGTTTCACATAGAGTCTTCGAACTCAGAATCAGGCATAAATATTAAGAAACGCTTAGAACTGTCTGTATGTCATGTGGGAAATAATAATAAAACAATAATTTGTTGATATTCACGGTATTCAATGAACAAAAACGGCTACAATTTTATTGGTGCTTGTATTGTATAATCAGTGGACGGGGATTTCTAGTTGTGAGATGGATTTAAGAGAGATTAATAATTGTTTAAATTGGATTTGTCTTTTTATTTTCTCGTTGTTCAATAAGAACCTGTAAGAATTATATATGAATCGGCAGACAACTTTCCAGTTTATAGCAGATGCCAAAACATTTGCAAAAAGTAGTTGCGGACCTCAGCTAAAATGATGAATATGTACTGATATGAATTTTATGTATTTAAAAGCGGGAAAGAAATACATGTAGAGAAGACCATCACAGTTAAATAAAGTCAACTCTCTCTAAGACGCACACCTTTGAGACCAGAGGTGTCTGTCTTATAGAGAGTCAAATATTGGGAGTAAAGAAAGGCAGGGACCAACTCTAGGTGTCCATTTTACAGAGGTGTCAGTCTTATACAGGTGTTTGTTAAGAAAGAGTCGACTGTAGGCAACTTATATTTTATGTAGTAAGACTTATCGCGACTGCAAATTTGCTTTTTTCAACTGTGATGTTCTTCTCTGCATTTATTGATTTTATTTCTTCATCTCACAGTTCAAAATTATGAAATTCATAGCGGAGCCCTCGCGCGATCAAAAGCGCGGGCAGCGGAGCACTATGGGTAAGAAAAGATGAAGACTGAAATGATGAATACAATATAGACATTTAGCCACGCCTAAAAGCGTAGTCTACTCAAACAAAATATAAAATCGTGTAATGCTAAACGGCGACGGTAGCGAGAACTGCAAAAAAAATCCATAGGTCTAATTAGCAGAAAAAAAACTTTGCAGGTGCGGCACACTTTTTTGTTCATTTATTTGCTTTTGCTTGCGTTTGTTTGCACGACTACAACTTATAACTTCCAGAAACGTCCTAGTTACGTATGTGTTCCTGTTCGGATTTTTTTTTCACCGCCGCTCACTTCATCTTGGTGGCCAATTTTCTCACCGCCGCTATAAAATTTTCATGTTTCTTTTCACGGAGTAAAGAAATTCGTCTCCTTTGTTTTTTTTTTATATCTGCCTCTTGTTCTTTTTTCTGTTATCCACGTCAACGTAGACATAGAAATTTACTCGAAAAAAAGACTCGGCTTTGTCGTTGATTTTTCCTCTCTAAAAATCCGGGTGGCCATTCGATTTACCGCCGATACGCGCGGGTGCTTGAAATGCGAAATTTCACCTTATCAGGACCAAAACCAACTTTGGTATATTATGTAGTAAGGCTCGTCCCAACTGCGTAAGCTGCTTATTTAATTATGATGATCTTCTCTTCATTTATTTCCCTTTCATTTCGCAGTTCAAATATATGAAATTCATGTATTCATTATTTCATCTTCATCTTTCTCGGGTATATTACGAACCAATTAATGGCCAGCTCCCAGTCTGCTTGCTAGTTCAATTGGTTAGGGCGCTGCACTGGTATCGCAGAGCTCAAGGTTCCAATCCCAGCAAGCCTAAATATTTTCAGGCTTGCTTTTCCAGTTTGAAGCTGCATAAGCTGCTCATTTAAACAATCTGAAGGTCTTTCCTTCTATTTCTTGTTCCCAAACAGTTGTTTACCACGTTCTAGACACCTTCATTCGAGAGAATATGCTTCGCAGATTCTTTAGCTTTCGCAGACCAAAACTGGATGAGAAGGAAACAGTTGATGAGCTTGAGAAAGAAAACATTGCTCCGAACTCTCAGGTACAAGGCAAAAATAAATTTAAAGGGACAGGTTCATGATTCAGCGCATGCTCATTAATTAAATTACTTTTTTCCAATTTATTAATTATTCTATCGATTAAAAATCCAACTCACATGTATCTCAGTGATCTCAAAGTGTATTTCAAAGTAGAAGTGCATTTCAGAGTAACCTGAGGTAGAATGGAGGGGCACTAAAATCGCAGAAAAAAATTAGTGGATTATGCCAACACTACCAACGTTGAATTTATTGTTAACCCGAAGGTTTTATTTCTTTTAAGCAATTTGCTCCTAAGTTGATCAAGTGACTGCCTGGGGAGTTTGCAGATTGGTTCTTTGACAACATTATGACATGATCATATTGCCTGCATAGACGGTACAGCATGTCCTGGCAGAAAAACAGCATTTTGATTAATGAGCATGCGCTGAACCGTGAACCTGTCCCTTTAAAACATCGTTGGTAGCAGAACAGAGGGATATCCCGAATGAACAGGGATATCCGTCACAAAATTATAATTATTAATTATTAGAGAATAATATGGTGTGGATCAGGCTTTATTTGTCCCTTGCCTAGTCCCTAGGCCTCATTATTCCGCGCGGCCATTGCGTGTCGAGTCACGTGGTCCGAGTGACTTCGTCTCGGATCGTCTCGTATTCGTCACGGAAATGCATTGACTGACAAGAACACACTGAATATTGACTGAGAAGGCCTGGAGACACGCCCTACATGGAGTGGGTAAATTTGACCCCTAGATGGGTAAAAATATTGGCTTTCCGTCCTGAAAACCATAATTGAGACCGTTTATATTTTTAAGTGAGAGGACGAGCATTTCTCCATCTTTCATGTCTGTCCCACCCCTCTCCCTCCCCGGAGTTGCAGATACTTCCACATGTCAGATTTTCGCTTTTAAAGATGTCCTTTTTATGATTGCAGACAAACCCGCTGGCGATCTCCAAGACAACCGTGGGGGAAGGCAAAACAAATTCAACTGGCACAGCTGAATTGGACACAACAACAAACACAGAATCCAAGGACTGTACGAAGAATCAGAATCCTCTCGACAAACCCGACAACAAAACTGTTGAGGATGAACTCTCGCAGAAAGAAAAAGGAATTTCTAATACAGAGCTACAAAAGAGAACTTCCACACTTTCGGATACTGAAAGGTATGCGAAGGGAAAAACAAAAACGACGTACGTACCATATTTACTTGATCTCGATTTAACCCCACCCATGAAAACAAGCCTCCCTGGAATTAACGTTGCACCCAATTAAAAGAATGCGGCGGTTATATGAGGCTTAACTGATAATTGATTGATTGCTAATCTACACTGTTCAGACCCCACAGACAATTACAATTCCATTTCAGTAGATAAAGCGGAACACTGGAACTTTAAACATCTTGCTGTTTTACATAATTTTTGTAAATGATTATTGTATTTGTTTACAGTGACCTAAGCAATGTGATTTTGAAATGAACGCCGTCCTTGAATCAGGGGCACCCAACGAGAATATAGTTCAAAACCACTTAAACATAGCATTGTTGAACGTATTTTAGTATTTAAACGGTAGATATAGGCATATTTCTATCCCCTAACAACTTTTCATCTGTTCGGATTTTCTACCTGAAAGTCCAATGATCCGAAAATTATAGGGATCAAAACTTACCTTTTCGAAAATTTCAGCCAGGAAAAGGGCTTCTGAAAAATCTAGGTGACCTTTTTAGGGTAAAAATCCGTTAAAAATGGACAATTATACCATTTTTTAAATGTTCGAAAATCCTAGGAGAGGCAGGCAAGCAAGAAATTTTACAGCAAATGTGCCGAAAATTCTAGATCTCAAATAGTCTTCCCAACAGATATTTTCCAAAAATTGACGTTGGGTTCCCCTGTTGAATAAACGCCGCATTAAATACGCTTAAAATTTAATTAATGCTGTGGCGTTTAATCGAACAAATATGGTAAACGAATCAATAAAACGTAACTCGACCAGAGTTGTACTCAACTTTATCTATATAGAGGGTCCTTAGTCCTCTCTGCCATTAATGAAATCCTAATAAGTTCTGATCGGCTGATGCATTTCTGGCGCGAAAGCGAATCTATAAATAACTTGAAAATCCATTACGTGGGGAGGCCACGAAGCTTTTACAGCGAGTTGTTTTATTGGCTAACGAAACAATGGATGAATCACCCAAACAATGCTCCAAGCCTGGCTAAAAACAATAGCAGGTGTGTTTTTAAGGAGTATATTAAAGATGAAACAACAGCAACATGATATTAATTTTGAGGAGGACTCGGAAAAAAATTCCGAGTCCCAGATGGGATTTGAACCCACGACCCTCCGTGATCTAGTCGGATGCTCTAACCACTTGAGCTACTGGAGACTCTAAGGTGAGCAAGGGCCAATTTGTGGGTCTCGACTGGAACCGCATCACGCGGCTACACAGCCAAGTAATGACTGGCAAGAACTCACTAACAGCATCGCGCTGTCACATTAAAGCATATCCAAGATGCAGCCAACCAACCTCCAAAGTGAGTATATTAAAGATGAAACAACAACAACATGATATTAATTTTGAGGAGGACTCGGAAAAAAATTCCGAGTCCCAGATGGGATTTGAAGGGCCCTTAAAAATAGGGCTTTCTGAGGGCACGCCGAACAAGACCGGAGCCTAGAGAGTGGCAGAAATCGAGCCTAAGGGCTTCGTGGCTTCAGGAAACAGACAGATTCTTGAATGTTAGAAGTTTCAAACCTTTGTTATCTTTCCCTTTACGTTTCAGTGACGTGAATGAGTGTGAGAAACTCAAAAATGATGTGTCTTCTGTTCTCAAAGAGACAGACTCGTGTGAAAGTACCAAAGATGAAGAATCGGATCGCTGTGAAAGCACGATATCTGCTGATGATAAAGATGAGAGTGGCATTGAACAGGATTTTGAACCTACTGGAGATGAGCCAGCCATAAAGTTAAAGCCAAACGATTACAACAACGAACCACGGATAAAGAACGAGTGCCCGGATAACTCTATAACCGAAAATGTATCCACAGAACTGAACAATGACCTTGAAAGTTCTGCGAAGACAACAGAGAGTCTTCCATCGCCACTGGTTCCTATCAATCTCAAGTCTCACCTAAAACGAAATGATAAAATCAAGTCACCAAATCGAAACTTTAATCTGGTATCGGGCAACATGGAGCATATTTATAAAAGCTGTAAGAGCTCTCCTGAGAAATGCGCAAGTTTCACACCCTTAGCAAACACTAACAAGCCATATACATCACCTTACAGAACACAATACTCTCGGAGGCCTCTTGCTACTACACCTGCATGGCAGCACCGTCGCAGTAAGGCCCCTGAAATGTTTGGGGACATTGTCATAAAAGATCGTTTCAAAGCAAGAACCCAATTTCCGTCTCCTTCACGAAAAGGTATTTTGAAACATCCGAACGGGTCTAGATTGGCTTCAAATGGAGTAAAGCATGCAACAGCAACCAAGAAAAGCAAACTTAGTCCTCCTAAAGGTAGGTTATCATATATATCAACTATTGTAGTAATAACCAAAGGTTACGGAGTGCGCGCGACTACGATCGAAAGTCAAAACGCTTGTGCTCCAGCGCTGTGCTTTGCGTAAGTTTCACCTGAAAGATGGTCAAAAACACACGTGGTAAGATTACGAGTGATAGAAAGTCCAAACTTCGTGATCAAACTGCGTTCTGTGCCGTTTTGTGCATTCCATACATTAGGCTGATTTAGCAACAGAACGGGAACGTTATTCGACGACGGGAAAGCGCGCGGAAAGGACTAAACTCGACTTCCGGTGCCTAATTTGCCGCTCAGCCACTGGTCAAGCCAGTTGTTCGATTTGCGCGCGCCGTTGTCAACTGACGTTCCCGTTCTGTTGCTAAATCAGCCTAATGTTGGTGGAAGTCCAAACGAATGCTGGCTACATACCTGCGATGCGTGCGTAATAACAGCTTGGAGATTAGGAGTGTGGGTTTCTCTTGTCGCCCGCAAATATATCAAAAATGGTAGGGAGGGCGAAACCAAAGAACAACTGATTAGTTGTGTAATGAAAAATTGAACAGATCAACATAAGCTGCGTTGTCTTTATTCAGCCAGTGAACAAACAGTTACAATCTGCCGCATGGAGTTTAAAATCACGCTGATCGCACGGGCCAGAATTAGCCGCCGACTAGATTTAACTTTGTACGAAATAAGGCTAAAAGTGTCAGTGGGCTTTTAACTCGTTGTTTGAAGCGCGAAAATGCGATCATCAAGCAGTACCATACAGTTTTCTTAGAAAGTTCAGTGATACTTTACAATAAACCTCATTTCATACCGTATCTACTTGTACATATGTAACATGTTATCTGCATTTCATGTTTGTACTAACTCACTCGGTAAGTCTGTTTTTCAGTCTATCAAGCCTGCTTGTTCCATTTGCTCGTCTGTGATCTTGTTATGTTTGTTGCAGTATAGTGGTAACGTATTGGCTATGTTGTGTCAATGTTTTTGTTATTGTAACGTTGCCAAAACCAGAAAGGTGTGTTCATCCTGTTCATCGTTGTCTTTTTCTTCTGTTTTCTATTTAAACTAATTACATTAAAATACAAAATGAACTTTATCACAAGTAGGTTTACTTATACGCAAATAACTCCTTTTTCCACTTAAGCTCTTGGGCATTACGTCATGACATGTAACCGTTTGTTAGTTTCTTTCACCAGGAATAAAAGAATTAAGTGTACTCAGGGGTTTCAGGCTTTGTTTATGATCCATCTTATCAGTTAATCAGTATTAGTACTAAGCAATGTTAAGGTTTATTCTGGTTATATGGTTGTAAGGTCTTGTAACCAATATATCAACCGGAAGCTGTTTCCGCATGGTCCGTATATTTTGTAAAAAGAACTATTCTGAAATTATGATATGCTCTGACCGAAAGGCATCACTAGGAGATTCCCTCTCTGCGTTATCATAATCTCTTTTAATCATTTAGATTACTGATCCCTTTAGCTTGAGAAAACGGCCGACATTTCGCGATGACACCACTGGTTTCCCCGCGAAATGCTGTCTGAGAAACGCGCTCAGAAATTCAACCAATCAGGAAGCGCTATGCAGATCTGGGTAGTGACGCGTCATCAGTATGGAATTTCTGCCGTCGTTCCTTAGTTGTCATTTCGCAGCGAAACCAGTGGTGACGTCGCGAAATGTCGGCTGGTTTTTTTAAGTAGATGGTGGATGAAAACAAGGGGAGAGAGAAGTATCTTTTATCAAGGATGATTGCAAATAACTGAGTAATAAAAACTTTTTGCTATGATTTTACTGACCGACACCAACGTAATGAGGTTCTTTGGGTACAATTTCATGCAGGAAAAAGAAACTCTACGTCGTCTGACAGCGGGCTCAGCGACGAGGAAGGTTCCAGCGGCGAGGAGCAAAAACGCATGCCTGTCAAAAAGATCTTCAGTAACCAGCAGGCACTGCGAAAGAAAATCGATGATTTGAATGGAATGCTGAAAACAATGGAACAACAAAAGGCGGAGTTACAGACCGTGCTCAGGATCATAGAGGAATGGTCCGAGGATTTACGGAGCGTGGAGAGGACTAAATTAGGCGTCCCTTACATTAGAGCTGTTAAGCAAACGCTTGGTAAGTCGGTTTTCATCCAGCCCCCCACAACCCAAGTTTTGGCTTGAGTGACGTTGGCTTAGGAGAGGGGTGGGTGAAGACATTTTCTCGGAGTCTTACCCATTCGTCTTACACGAAGTTCTACCACTCTGACCTCGCTATCCCCTATTTTTTTCGTAATATCATCAGGGTTTAGTGCTTACCGGTACGGGCGACTATTTTGGTTTCATATGTACCGAGGGGATGGGCGACGGCGGTTTTGTTGTGGGGGTTGGGAGTTGGGTTGGGAGGCGAGAAAAACATTTTTTTCTCGCCTTCTCCTAAACTGTCCGCCACCCCTTAAGTAGATTTGACACTCATTCGGAACATCTGAAACAGCTTGAAACAGCCCGTTCCGCAAAGCGCTCGGTCTCGACAATCCTGTGGGAAATAGGGGATTGTAAACAGTCTATGTATAGTGATTTGAGAGAATGATACACGACAGTTCTCATTAACTGTTTGCAGTTTCATGGTTTTCTTTTCACTTTAGTACCAAGACAGGTACCAAGGGGAAATGGGGCAATTGAACTCCCGCTTCGAAGTATTCACTGTTTTAACTGTATTTTTTCTTTTGACAGCTAAACAGCGAGTAGCATTGAGCAGGAAAAAAAGCGATTTCAACAGAAGACTCACGAAGCTGAAAGAAGCTGAGGTTCCATTTAATGAAGAGTTTGGTAATCTGATTCAGCAACTAAGAAAAGAAGTCACTTACGTGGTTCGAGACCAAAGAAAATACAGCGTAAGACGAGTTGAAAACATTCGACAGCTTCAGGGTAGAGTGATTGGAACTTGTAATGCAATTCTAGCAGTTTATTACGAAGGATAAGCATCCGACTGTTGAAGTTATTGTCTTATTTAAATAGCCTGAAAGATTGCTATCATTGAACTTTTTTTAATGATAATAGAGTAACGTTTAAGAGTACTTGAAAATGAAAATGCAACGGAGAGAATTTGTAGGATAAGAATTAGGCCAACTGGTTAACCTGTGAATAAAACGCCATACTCAGTGGACACAGTAAAGACCACTGAAGCAAACAAGAGAACACGACAAAAGGAGTGATGTGACATACATTATAATTTACGCTTCAATTTTTAAATTAACAATTTTAAAAATCTACATGAAGTGTGTGTTAGCCCTGCAGTGCTCTATCAACTTAGCTATGAAGACCGATAAGATTGAGAGCACACCAATGAGCCGAGTTCATCTCAACCCGTGAAAGGAATGAAATATGGTCAGTCACATTATCCTTATTCTAAATTTTTAAAATACTTCTCATATATACATTCAAGTTTTACATGTAATTTCAGTCTAAACGGGTTATATGATTAAAACAGTTTCTAAAAATTTCTAATAAATCGGTATTCAATTTTTCTTGATCATTTTATAAACCACTCCCGTTTGGCCCAATGCTAACTCTAAAATTCAAATTCAAATATCTTACTATTCAACTCCCCTCAGGGTTTTTCAGGGATAATCTACAACACTGGTTGGGGGACTTTGCCAGACTGCTTAAGGTGCAGTTTACAAGTAATGAAGGAATGAGTAATGATGCCCCCATACATGAGTATGAAAGTGAGATAGACCACTACACCGGGCACTACATGCACTACTTTTTACGAAGAGTGTGTGGCTTTAACGTCCCACAGATTTATTACATTTGCAAGGGCTTGTGAGACGGGGCGTACGGTTTATCGTCCTTATCCGAGAAGACTAGAAAGTCTAACCGTTTCCAGATGTTATTACAAAGGCAGCACTTTCTCCTCAGTTATATAAAGAGCCTGAGTGCTGGTCCGGCCGGGCTTTGAACCTACGGCCTCCCGCTCAGCAGACCAGCACTTATCCCATTGAGCTAACCGGGCGGCGGTTATCTATCAATGCTCTCGCTCTTTCCAAATCTGGAAAGGAGAAAAAGCATTTTGAGTAATTTGTTTGAGTTTTCCTTGCGCATTCTAGTCTGTTCAGTGACCTCAGGTCTATCCAGGTACCATGTTTGCCTCGCCTAGTCCCTGTGCGGTGTTTTCCCAGTCCCTATCGGTCAATTCATTTCGGTGACGTACGTATCCTTCGCTTGGACCACGTGACCAGGAACGGTTTTGCCGCGCGAAATAATGAGGCCTAGGGACCAGGCAAGTGCCATGTATCCTCTTCAAAGTTATTAGGGACCTTACGAAACTACGACGGCGAGGGCAACGGTAACGTCAAAAACAACAACTCTGCACGTGCATCACGCTTTTTTGTACATTTCTTTGCCGTCCCTGCACGACTATGACGTGAAATGACCAAATTTTAAGTTTTTTTTGAGGAGTGGAACGGTAAGGCGACAAATTTTACCATCTCTGTCTGAACTCAGACGCGGCCCCCTCTCTTCAGCTCCATCATAAATTCCCTTCTTTTAAGTAACAGGGTGACTTGAGAAAATCGCGAAATTGTTTGAAAGGATGCGGAGTCTATTTTTCAGCGAGGTTTTCATGGACGTCGCCGTTGTCGGATCGTAAG